CTGCTTTGTCTCTTTTTTTTTTTTTCTCTGCTCTCATGGACACACGTACCCACTTTAATTACTAACAGAAAACAGTGCATTCTGCACACTTCACAACATCTGTTCAGGCCTTAATTAATCCAACCCTCAAGGAGTCTCCATAGCAACGATGCTGAACAGGCTCCTCAGATTCCATCTTACAAGATCTTCCTCTAAGTGAGTGACTCAAGCTGTGGCCATGACCAAAATATGTTTGCATTGATTCTTGTGTCAGATATAATGAGAACTTTGCACAGAGAGGCTTGCATAGAAAGATTAAGTTTTAGGATCATACCCGGCATCACCATAATAAAAACAACAATCCTAACCTAGGACCAGAAATCACGCAAAATTTTCAAGCTACTATGAAAAGAAAAGAAGGAAATTCTGGGGCCATACGTTAAATCTCTGCCTGCTGCACTGCCATCCCATAGAGGCGTCAGTTCTAGTCCCAGCTGCACCTCTTCCGATCCAGCTCTCTGCTGTGGCCTGGGAAAGCAGTGGAAGATGGCCCAAGTCCCCGGGCCCCTGCACCCATGTGGGAGACCTGAAAGAAGCTCTTGGCTCCTGGCTTCCGATCGGCTCAGCTCCAGCCGTTGAGGTCATGTGAGAAGCGAACCAGAGGATGGAAGACCTTTCTCTCCTCTCCCTCTGTCTGTAACTCCGCCTCTCAAATAAATAAATACTAAAGAGAAAGAGAGAGAGAGAGAGAGAGAGAGAGAGAGAGAGAGAATCCCATTACCTCCTTTATGTTACAAGAAATTCTTGTGTTACTGAAGATTAATGACCACAGTTGCCTTGATGGCACCTATAGTTATTGTTTGTGAAACAGTTGGAAGAAACGCAAGTGTTTAGAAGAAGCTCTTCAGGGAGGGTGATTCCTGGGCCTTGGCTCCACAAACTTCAATTAAAAGTCAATTGTCCTTTGCTGGCTCCTGCCAGCATCTCACCTAAATCAGAGCTTGCCAGCCGTGCAGAGCAGACCAGGTCTTCCAAGGAGGCCGTGCAGCTGCCAAGGGCAATGGCAAGCACGTGTCTGAGAGTCTGCTTTAGCTCCGTGGCCTGTGCAGACCTTCTCATGGATGCTGGCTATGTTTGCATTTATAGCTGAAGCTATTAGGTTAGAGATTGTAAAAATAAGCACTGGCAATGACCCCAAAAAGCTGCTCGGGGCTTCTCCATGTTGTGGGGGGCTGGGCTGAGCAGTGGTAGAGGCCATGGAAAAAGGAAGCTGGGCATTTACTGCCCCCCACCCCTCAATGGCATTTCAGTCCATACCAGCCTCCACGGTTCAATGTTTAACTTGGGTTGCTAACAAGAAGTAAACCATGCATCGGAGTTTTAGCTTCGTTCCCCTTCACTGCTTCCTCCTATGAAAAGGCAAATAGCCCAAAACTGGCAGAGAAGAAAGAAAAAGAAGAAAAAAAAACTTAGACACCTTCTTGGGTAAGGGAAAAATGCATTTCAGCAGAAAAATCAGATTCCTTTTTTGAAATAAAATGGGAACTTTCAGTCGAGCCTCTGGACAAGAAGAGAGACTCCCCAAACTTTGCCAGTGATTGGGACTTTGTGGGGTCTGGTGAAACTGGCCACAGGGACAGGCCATCACCAGATTCTAGGACAGAGCCAAGTCGAGCCAGAAGCCAGGAATACAAGAGGGGTTGCTGGAAGAGGCCGTGGTGGGACTCCTGCAGGAATAAGGGACCATTCTAAAACAACTAGAATCTATTGAAAATGGCAAGAGACAAAGACCTACTTTCTCAACACGTTCGGCCTTTGTCCTCGGGCCAGTGTTCTCAGCAGACTGCTGCATGCTGGTAGCATCTACAACTTCTGACTTTCTGCTTTAAAGAGTTTTATGGGTAGGCAAAAAACTAAGACTCAATTACTGGCCTATTAAGGTTTCCCAGCCATGAAGCTTCTATAGAGCTACGGAACGATGGTCTGGCTTCGAGTGACTTCCTGCAGAGCAGAGTTCAATCATCAGCTTGAAGCCATGGCTTTGACCTCAGCAGCCAGAGGCAGAGATGTGTGACGGAGCAGGGTTCTAGGTCTGGTTCTGTCAACTCTTTGATCTGAGATTTCCAAGCACTCTGGTTTACTGCCCGCATTCAGCACGTTATCACGAGGCTCCCTCCCAGCAAGCTTTAGTCTTGACATCTCTGAGGACACAAGAAAACAGGCTGTAAAACACTGAAGCCGTGTCCCCAGCTGATTCTCCAACCACTGCTGTCACTGTCAGAGCCTTCGCTGTGTGCCACAGTCTATTGAGGCTTACATCCTAGGGCTCCCTGTATCACGGATACGTAAACTCAGCTCTGAAGCAAGCTGCAGGATTGTGCAACTCCGAGAGGTTTCTCTCACACCGAAGTAATGGATGCAGGTGCTCCGGAGTACGCTCCCACACAATGCGAATGGCGCCCCCTGGTGTTGTGCAACCGGTGGCCCTGGGGGAGATTCAGTAAGCACAGCCCACGTCTGTTAGACCATCCCATAGCTTTTTCTGCCGATCTCATGCTGGTCAAGGGAGAGGCAGTCAGGAAACGACATGGTAAACGCTTCACGTCAACTATTAAGATCATTCTGGAATCATCCTTCCACGTGTCCCTTTCCTTTTTCTTTTTTCCTTTTTCCTGAAGTTTTTGTTTCTTATTTATTTTCATTTTATTTGAAAGAGAGAGAGAGAGAGAGGATACTTTCACGTTCCTTCACTACTTACATAAGACTGCTTGAAAACACCTGAGACAAATGGCTGTTCCCATTGGACACCTTAACCAAGAGGGGAGGGATTTGTGCAGGCTGCCTCCCAATGGGATCTTGTTTTACAGCTCCTGGCCTGGGCTTGGGTTGCCCTTCTCGCTGGGAACATCTTTTGCCCTTGCTCCCTGTGTTTGTCCTTCAAGCCCCCAGCATCCTCTGCTGTAGGACTGCTCTTCCATTCTGCATATTACCAGCAGCCCCTGGGCTCTCCGTACCAGCTCACTGAGCTACCTGCACTTCTCCATATCCAGCGGTCTGTGCCTCTATGCATCAGGACCACTGTTCACGCATTAGGCATCTCCCACCATTTGCAGGCTTGTTCATCCTTATTTTGTCCCCAACAGCCTGCTTGGCCTTTAGCTGTTTTATTGATGCAATGTGTGTATAAATCATTCAATTTTTGCTGTTGCAATTCTAATATTTGTTTATTGAATATATGAGTTAAGAGGAGGTTTAGAGATGCAATGAGTTCACAACTAACCTTACAGAACCTGTCTTGTATCTTCAGGCTGGCCAACCCCAGGCATCAAAATTCTCTATGCATTGTTTCTGGCTTTGCAGGGGTAATCGCTCTTAAAGACTGGGATCAGGCTGAGCAATTATTAAAAGTGTTCTTTAATGATAATAGCCTGCCTATATGGAGTGATTCCTCTGCCCCAGGCTCTGCTCTAAACACAATGTGTGTATTAGTCATTTCATCCTTGCAATTATAATTCTATAAGGCAATCATCCGTGTTTTATAGGTGAGGAAACAAGAGAGGGGTGAAGTCACATGCCAAGGACACACAAGCAGTAAGTAGCAGATTTGGTTCCAGGGTCCAGACCCCAACTGCCACGCTCTGTTGCCTTTTGATAGAAAGACAGAGAGAGGTTGAACATTAGTAACCACAGGTAGAGTATTCTGAGTTCAAGGTGGTCCTTGGCCACAGGAAGGAAAGCACATTCCTCGTGCCTTTCTTTCTTTCGTCAATGATTTAATTACATCACCTCTTTATCTTACATAATGCACATGTGTGTGAGCACGCACACCCACACCTCCTCTGCCGCAAGTGTTCCCTTTCTGAATGAACAAGGCTTCAGCGGCTGAGTAGGCTGGGAGGTGCCGCACGATCCCAGCGATTATGCAGTCCTGGTGAAATGCAGAGTCATTTGGAGTCTAGATGAGATAATGCATACATGCGCACAGCCTTGAAGGGACAGAGCATCCCCAGGGCCGGCGCTGTGGCATAGCTGGTAAAGCCGCCACCTGCAATGCCAGCACCCCATATGGGTACCAGTTCATGTCCTGGCTGCTCCACTTCCGATCCAGCTCCCTACTAACGACCTGAGAAGAGCAGCGGAAGATGGTTGAAGTGTTTGGACCCCTGCCACCCACATAGGAAACCTGGAAGAAGCTCTGGCTCCTGGCTTCGGCCTGGCCCAGCCCTGGCCATGGCAGCCCTCTGGGGAGTGGACCAGTGGATGGAAGACCTCTCTGTCACTCCCTCTTTCTTTAGAACTCTGACTTTCAAATAAATAAATCTTAAAATAAAAAGGGGAGACAGAACAAAAACATTACTTTTCAGAACAAATCTCTAAAGGGTTGAATATTCCCTTTAAGTTCTTCCCTTGGTGGGAAAAGATCTTTGTGAGGAAATATATTTACAATCCTGGAAAATAGTGTCATCTTCTCTTAAAATTAGTAAATTTGTACTGGAGGTACAGAGCAACTCTCCATTGAGAGCTTAGTCTCTTCTGGTCAACACAGCAAAATCCCATACACTGCATTGTCTGTAAAACACAGACACGTATTTCTCACAGATCTGGAGCCTGGAAGTGCAGAGTCAAGGGCCCACAATGTGCTTCACAGGTGCTGCCTTTTTGCTGTGTCCTTCAAGCGGTGAGGTGGTGAGGGAACTCTTTAGGGCACCCTTTCTTAGGGCACCACCCCATTTGTGAGGGGTCCACCTTCAGGATCCCCCCACTCCCAACAGCCTCACTGCCTATAATAGAAGCAACTTCAAACTTTAAGGAATAAAACAAAAACAAAAACAAAAACAAAACCTTGGGGCCTGAGTGAACTTTTCCCCTCTCCTGCTTCCTCTCTCTGGGTTGTTTTGTGATTCTGGATGAGCTGAATATTTCTCTATTTTCATCTTTCATATGGGGAGATGGTGTATGTGTGTGTGTGTGTGTACATTCTAGGGTCCGAGATAATTTTAATAAACTACAAAGGAAGATGATGAGGTCAAAGCTATTTATTGACAATGACTGGAACATACACAAACATCTCTGAACAACAAGAGGGAACTCACCCAGGTCATTTCCCCGCACAGAAACCCAGGGGACTCAGGGGCAGCAGGATGGGCCAGCTTTCCAGGATGAGGAGAGGCTGGCCAGGCAGGAGCTGCCCAGAGAGGAAGGGCTCCTCCTTGGGGCGCCCTCAGGGACTGGTAGCCATCGGTGCTCCAGGTGCTCACGGGGCAGGGACAGAGCATGAGGACAGGAGTGAGGGCTCCTGTGCAGTTTCATTATTTACATCAGAAGGGGCTAGCTGGGGGGCTCTAGGCTCCAGGCTGTGCTGAAAGCCGCTGCTGCTGAACCGTGGCTTGAATCCCTGCCGCACATGGAGCACAAAGGTGACGGCAGAGCATGAGGCTCGGGCCCTCCATGTGTCCAGATTGTGTCCGGGACGCTGCCCAGGAAGGACGTGTTGCCTCAATGCTGACCATGACAGATCTACACCTTTGATGCCCCCAAGAGACATCAGCACATGAAAGCCAACTGAGAGAGGGCCTCTCCCACATCCCCCTGCCAGGGCAGGCACTGAGGCCCCTCTGCTGTGCCTGTGAAAGTCATCCCTTATGAACATTGCCCTTTAAGGCATTTCAACACCCAGACAACCTGGAGAAAAACGCAATTTTACTGTAGGGCCAAAACAACTTTTGGAATAGTTCTTCTCATTCAAATTATGTTTCTCTTCCAGAAATTTGAACTTAGATGTGATAAGTTAAAGATGATACAAACAGAGCTGCTTTCAATAATTTAATTATTAGATGCATGCCAAAAAATGAACTTGCATGAAATATTAAATATTTTTCTCAAAGCAATTTGGACACAATCACACATACATAAAGTATAGGAAAAAAATGTTTCTCCCAAAAGTGCCAGTGTTTTGTTTTGTTTGAAAAAATAATGACAATGCAATCAGAGGTAAACAATATTTTCTTCTACTGCATCTCCAGTTTCCCCATCTTGTCTGGTCACTGTCTGGAGATCGAGCTTTGCTTCTGCTGCGAAGGTCTGTGGCTGAGGGTGATGTGGATTGGAGATGTCCGGTGCTGAGGACTCACCCTGGGACGTGTCTAGATCTGCAACAGACAGACAGCAGCGGTTACAGGAGACTCAGATTGGGATCCACAAGAGATTAGAAAGTGCAGTGCCTACACAGTCAGTCTACAGAGAATGGCCAAGCCGGGGAGAAAGGGACATGTGGATTCACTAGGACACATTCAACTGCATGCACCATGTCTCCTGCAGCTAAGACTCGCCCTTACAAAATGCTCCTAGGAAAGCTCACGTGAAGTAAGACCTGTCTATTCACAGCTACGGCTGAGAAAGGGGCGCCCATGCATTTCTCAAGGGGGATCCAGGCCTTGGCTAGGGCAGCAAAAGCAAATAAGCCACAAGTGCACCTGCAAGGTGCCCTCCCTCAGGACACCTCCACGTTAAAGGTTGACCTCGAGACCCACACAATGTATTTGTGACAAGGGTACGAAGACAGCAGCCTCACCATGATGCAAGTCTGTTCATAGCACACAAAGCACTTACCAAGAATAGCCAGGTTCCGAGGGAAAATCAGGCCAATAGCAACTGTGACTGGGTTGGTTTTTTTTTTTCTGGTTACCTAGCAACAACAGGGCACTGTGTAGTCTCTCTTTTTGGGGTGGATCCCACCTTCTACTATTATAGTTTAAAGGAGAAATGAAGGTTGTTTTGATTTAAAGACAGACACTTTCTGCAAAGCATTTCTCCGCGTGTGTCCATTGATCAGCTCCCTGAGGCTCAGCTATATGTTAAGATGATAAACGACCGGCCTGCAGGAGAGCAGGCAGGCAGCGCAGGTAGAAAGGGAGCTGGCCAGCCATGGGTCCACCTGCTCCTCCTTTGCTGTTTGAGAAGAGGCCACTGCAATCCTGCCACCTTTGATCCAAAGTCTCGATTGTGTAGATGGCTACACAGACCTCCTGGCACTCTGATGACAATGTGCTTGTGACCTCGTCCTCCTGAGCAGCCTCCTAGGCTGCAGAGAATCAGGGGCAGAATGTGCCCTCGGGGCTCCATCACTGGGGAGGTGATCTTTGCTATACCTCATTTCATCCCTCCTGGCAATAGGAGGTGGGACTGAGCGGGGAGGAGCAGCCAGGGCCACCGCAGAAGACAAAGGTCACCTTAAGGGACCCTGACAAGAACTGAACTGCCTCTGAAGCAAAGAAGGACCCCTGGGGTGGGGGACAAGGAGCTAAGGAGGGAGGCTTTGATGCCAACAGGACACAAAGAGAACAACCCCATTTCCATTTCCGGTGGGGTGACTTGATGCTACCAACCCTGATCCAAACACCAGGAATTCATTCAGGATGGAAAACCTGCCTGAAGCGGCCTCTGCCGCCGCCATGGTTTACAGAGCGCCTTTCCCAGGTGCAGGAGCCGCACCGGCTCTTTTATACTCAGTGCATCTACGCCTCAAAGTGCCGGAACCCACCAGGTACAGGCTGGAAACTGAGGCTCAGCTCAGTTAAACTCTTGGCCCAACATCATGCAGCGAGGAAGTCAGATCCATGCTCAGAGGACTCCTCACTCATCACTCTGCTCTGATTCTCATTTCTCACTGGGCTGGGATTGGCTTGCCCATCCTTTCCGCATTCAGAGACCCTGTGTGTTCTGTACTCTCCTTGCCTGGTGTACGTTTTAAAGAGTCACTTTCACCAAAAAAGAAAAGAAAGCAAAAGTCGCAGAAGACATTCTGAGCCTCTCAAAATCGACACAGCAATTATCAGACCTCCCTCATGCAATCAATCCAACCCAAATATCTCCAAGCAATGATCTCATTATCAGCGCAGGACTACAAATCCATCCAGAATGTTCTGGTCTTAGTTTATTCCAAAGTATGCCTATGGTCACAACACGTATTTATGCTTTCAAACTCTTTTCTCAGTCAATAATTAAGCCATTTCACCCCGCCATACAAACACCCTCAATTAGACTGCTGATACTCAAGACAACAGGACTTCAAAGAGAAAACCTCCAGGCTTCCATGTGGCAGATGCTGGCCGAAGGAACAGGCCATCTGCAGTGCCATGTCCCCACCCCCAGGTGGTCCAGCCAGTGCACAAGAAGTACCCCATCTTCAGAATAACAGACCACCTATTGAATGAGGCAGCTGGGAGGTGACTGCTGACAGATGTGACCACGCGCCAGGGACACAGGAAGCCCTGAATCTATGTAATGTTCCTTCTTCTGGAATGTGGCGCCTTCAGCAGAGGACCCACAATACTGAGGACTCCAGGCAACCGAGCAGGCTCATTTATAATGGCCTTGAGAGAAGATTTGTTTTTAAAAAAATTTCCAAATGTTTACCAGAAAGGTTTCTTTTATGTTAAATTGTGGGCTCTCATTCAGGAAGACAGAGAACAAAGAACGAATGTGTGTAGGGAGCTAGAGGGGAATGTGTGTGTGCGTGCGTGTGCGTGTGCATGTGTGTGTGTGTGTGTGTCAAGAGTCCAGAGGTTTATCAGAACTTTTTCAAATCAGGACAAAAACACAGGAGAAAGGCCTTTCTGGGCAACAGCTCACTGGGCCCCGAGGCGAACGGCCAGCGGTGGTTCCAGACGTTCTGCTGATGTGTTGTGGCATCGCGGCTGTGTGTCACCTGCTTGGGAACTCAATTTCCTGTGTTCCTGCGTGGTTTGTACCTGAACTGTGCAGACAAGGTCAGGCAGTCGGTCTTTGAAATTAGAAACCGTTGGGTGAGTTCTGATTTTATTACTTCATGTCAACCCTAAAAGCTCTCCAACACAGCAACTGTGTGCTCCTCAAGGCCCACCTTCTTTGTCTACACTCTCCATCCTAGAGAAAATGGCCATCATAAGAGCCTTCCACTAAAAAAACATCTGTCAAAATTAAACCTCACCGAATCAGAAAGCAGAATCCGCGGGGAGTAAAACTAATCACCATTTTCCTTTGTGATCAGAACGTCTGTAAATTGGTAGACAAAAATACAGAATACCTTCTTTTTAAAGGGCAAAGAGATTTTAATACAATCATAATTTGGTCAACTAAAAGCCAAACACTATTAAAATAAAATGGAACTTCAAATTAGAAAGAACTTTTCAATACAAACTTCTCAATACAAATTTTCATCTTGACATAAAAGAAATAATTGGATCCTCATGGTATCTCTGGGAATTGAACACAGTAACCATGATTAACCTTAAAATAAGGACAACTGAGCGGAAACACATCAAAGCCACCAAACCTGGCTAAACCAAGCTGAAAGTAGAGTCGTAGAGTTTCACCCCGAGGTGTTTTTTTTTTCCTGCTACGTAATTGAGCTTTTATTCACACACTAAAACTTCAGCCTCTGCAAGAAATTTCTGTACTCTCGGCATGAGGGCTGTGATGGGGACTGCGATCAAATGCAATTTTAGCGCAACTGTTATGTGTCAGTCAGACACAGAACGCTAAAAACTTGTAGGTATCACGTTTTCGCGGGCACCGCTCTGCTTTCTCGTGAGTATGCAGGGCAGAAAGTGCCCACAGTGAGTGGCCGGAGGGCTGAAAGCCAGACGCCTTTCCCCAAATCTCCTCATGCGCAGTCTTTAGTCTAAGGCACCAGCTGGCACCTGCACTTTATTTTTCTTACTGTTTTCTGTTCACCTGATTTTAGAATTCCTAACTAACAGCGAGGACAACCACCCTTCCCTAGAATCAACTGGACAACTACTTTCAAATCCAGCCTGTGAACTCAGTATTGAAAACCTGTGTGTCTTACTTTAAATGAATAATACGCCATCTATACTGTGAATCCAATGAAATCTTGGAAACCACACGATAAAATGCAAGTAATTTCTCCTGAGATTCAGCTCATGAAGGACTGGACTGAAATCATCCTCATCAAGGCCCCCTCAACTCAGCAACGCGAATTGCTCTACTCGTGTTTGAGGTCAGCGATTCACCAAATACCATGCTAGAGGCATAAAAACAATTAATGCATTTTTTTTCAAATGCTTTCCATTCAGGAAATGCAATCAAATTTGTTACTGGAGTTGCACTGGAAATCATGTTTTTAAGGTTATTGCCAGACATTTGTCCCAACCCTCTTCCAACAGCCTTGCCAACAGCACATATTTGAGGTGGGCCCACACACAATCCTCAAAGGATAGTATTTGGAAAGTTAATTAAGGAGTGGAAGATAATGTCCCCAGTCAAAATCTGCCTGTCTGAGAGCAACTCATCAAAAGCAGATCTGTGACAAGTCCAAAAGGGTTGTCAACTGTCCTAGAGGCCAATATTACGGTGCAGTGGGTTAAACCGCCACCTGCAATGCTGGCATCTCTTATTAGAGTGCCCATTTGAGTCCCGGCTGTCCACTTCCAATTCAACTCCCTGCTAATGTGCTTGGGAAGACAGAGGAAGATAGCCCAAGTGTTTGGGCCCCAAAGTCCATGGGGGAGACCCAGGTGGAATTCCTGGCTCCTGGCTTTGGCCTGGCCCAGATGTGACCACTGTGGCCCTTTGGGAATGAGCCAGTAGACACCAGAAAACATCTCTCTCTCAATCTCTCTCTCTTCTCCCTCTATCATTCCACCTTCAAATAAATAAATCTTTTTTAGAATACTTAAATCATGTAGTTGTTGCTTAGCAGAAAAGCATTTTAAATCATGATTCCTTTTAAACAAAAGTTCAACTGAAACTTGAAAGCACCAGGACAACTTTCATCACGCGCATCAACTGCCAAGTCTGAATTTAGCTCAGCAGTGTGCCCGATGGCCAGGCACCCAGAAGCCCAGTGCAGCACAAGCATGTTTAGTCTGCTGTCGTGAGAGATCACTCACGACGCCGCTCGGCCCGCTCTGCGTCTCGTCCCGTTCCCTCCTTCCCGGCCAAGGTCACACAACAGAACTTCTTGTCTTCCAAGCCCGGGCACTGAGCTTATTTCAGTTTCCCTTGTACTTGTTATTACAACGTCTCTTGTGCACATTCCGCAAAATCAAAATTCACACTTTCCTAGATTATCTCCACTTCAAAAAACAGATTTTATCATTGATGTTCCAACTCTGCAAAGTAAGTTGTATTCTTGCCTTAGTGACTG